GCCTGGATGGATTTGAACTGCCAACCTTTTTAGTTAGTAGCCTAGCACTGAACCATTCACACCACCCAGGAACTCCTGTGGGAGAGATCACAGGTAATTTAATTTTTGTTTTCATTTATTCCTAGTTACTCTACAATGAAAGGCCTGTCTATCTATCTATCCATCATCCATCTACACATAACTTCTATAATAGAAAAATAAAAACTACTAGTAAAAGACCCATAGCATTAGCACTATTTAAGAAATTACAGACACATGCTTTTGAGCACAGCTTTTGGAGAAACTATAGATAGAAAATTTGTGGAAGATATAATGTGGGGAACCACACAGGAAATTGAGACAAACAGTTCTTCAAAGATAATTTAGCAAAAATTCATCTGCAAGGAGTAGCCGTGGTAATGTGTGGGTCAGAACAGATTTGATTGATGACCTAGGTGCACCCATCCACAATGACCGAGCCCTCTGTTTAATGTTCTCATTAGATTTACCATGCTGTCCTCTGGGCTGTACAAAGAGTTCTTTTCTGCACTGATTTCCTTCGAGCTGAGCTCAGCCTGGGGCACCAGATCTTTTCCATGCCGCAGGCTTAGGGAACAAGTGCCCCTCTTCACTCCCTTCTCATGGGCAAGATGTAGCACTGGGCTTCATTCACTTTACAGAGGTGGTATTTTCATTCACACAGTTGTTCAGGGTTTAAAGGGGGGAAAATAAAGCCCTTAATAGAGCTAATAATAGATGTGCCTTAGTCTGGGTTCTCTAGAGGAGCAAAATCAGTTAGGTGTGTATATAATCTAGAGAGATTTACTTCAAGGAAATGGCTCGCGCAATTGTGGGGGCTCGCAAGTCCTAAATCTGTAGGTCGGGCAGCAGGTTGGAGACTTCTGCTGGCTCATGGGGTTGTGGGGGCTGGCAAATCCAAAATCTGTAGGTCAGGCAGTAGGCCAGAGACTTCTGCAGGCTTACATTCCAGGAACCGGAGGTCAGGTGGTGAGAAAAGTACCAAGTCAAGAGTGGGAGCTTTGCCAGAAACATCCATTTATATACTGGAGGCACCTCAAGGAAACTTCCCTTTCAAGTGACTGGCTGATCGCATCATGGACAGTGATTACATTATGGAAAAGCTACCAGTCTAGTGTCTGCCAAATCCCTGAGAATCAAAGCCTAGCCAAGATGACATATAACATTAAACATCACTGATGTTTTCACTAGGAAAGCTTATACAATGTGGGAAATGGTAGGTAAAATCCTAAAACAGCCAGTGATAGGATGAATAATACTTGTCAGACTCTAAAACCTCAACTTCCCAGCTCCACTTGAACCTCAGGATGAGGGACAGAATCCTTGGAGCTAGCGAAGCCCAGGTCAGAGACATGATGGAATGCATGAGGGCTGCCACGCGCCAAATGTCCTCCTTCTAAAAGATGTTACTTTCCTTCACAGAATATATCTATTGTTCATTCACATTTGAATATGTCTGCGTACATGTATAGATATGTTGCAAAGCACTGAAGCAACAAAATTAGAGAAATCTTCAATACCTCTGACATGCTTAGAATGACAAGAGATGTGAAAGTAACTCAGAATTAGATTCCCTTTTTTACAAAAGCAGGAAATGTGGTTCAATTACTGAAGGATTCCAATCTGAAGGCATAAAGTAGGAAGCAAATTACTATTGTACTTTCAGGTAAGAAAAACAAAGTTAGGCAAGGTCTGCCTTTGAGTAGTCAATTATCTAAATGATCTCTCTTCTCAGTGCTAAGCACACAATCTGGCAGTTGATGATGATAAACACTTACTTACATAGCACTGGCTATAAGCACAGAATACCGGAAAGATGTTTACCTGTGTTTTATTGACTATTCAAAGGCATTCGACTGTGTGGATCATAACAAATTATGGATAACATTGTGAAGAATGGGAATTCCAGAACACTTAATTGTGCTCATGAGGAACCTGTACATAGATCAAGAAGCAGTCGTCTGAACAGAACAAGGGGATACTGCATAGATTAAAGTCAAGAAAGGTGTGCATCAGGGTTGTATCCTTTCACCATACTTATTCAGTCTGTATGCTGAGCAAATAATCCGAGAAGCTGGACTATATGAAGAAAAATGGGGCATCAGGATTGGAGGAAGACTCATTAACAACCTGTGATATACAGATGACACAACCTTGCTTGCTGAAAGTGAAGAGGACTTGAAACACTTACTGATGAAGATCAAAGACCACAGCCTTCAGTATGGATTACACCTCAACATAAACAAAAACCCTTACAACTGGACCAATAAGCAACATCATGATAAACGGAGAAAAGACTGAAGTTGTCAAGGATTTCATTTTACTTGGATCCACAATCAATGCTCACGGAAGCAGCAGTCAAGAAATCAAAAGACGCATTACATTGGGCAAATCTGCTGCAAAAGACCTCTTTAAATTGTTAAAAAGCAAAGATGTCACTTTAAGGACTAAAATGCATCTGACCCAAGTCATGATGTTTTCAATTGCCTCATATACATGAGAAAGCTGGACAATGAGTAAGGAAGACTGAAGAATTGATGCCTTTGAATAATGGTGTTGGTGAAGAATAGTGAATATACCACGGACTGCCAGAAGAACCAACACATCTGTCTTGGAAGGAGTACAGTCAGAATGCTGCTTAGAAGCAAGGATGGTGAGACTTAGTCTCACATACTTGGACATGTTATCAGGAAGGATCAGTCCCTGGAGAAGGACATCATGCGTGGTAAAGTAGAGAGTCAGAGAAAAAGAGGCACACCCTCAACGAGATGGCTGCAACAATGGGCTCAAACATACCAATGTCTGTGAGGATAGCGCAGGGCCATGCAGTGTTTTGTTCTGTTGTACATAGGGTTGCTATGAGTCAGAACCAACTCCATGGCACCTAACAACAATAACAATAACATGTGCTAGGACGAACCCTGGTGACATAGTAGTTAAGAGCTATGGCTGCTAACCAAAAGGTCAGCAGTTCAAATCCACCAGCCGCTCTTTGGAAACCCTATGGGGCAGTTCTACTCTGTCCTATAGGATCACTATGAGTTGGAATCAACTCAATGGCAACGGGGTTGGTTTTTTTTCGTTTATGTGCTAGGCACCATTCAAAATGCTTTATATATTCTTTGAATCCTCATACAACCCTGTTATGGATTGAACTGTGTCCCCCAAAAATGTGTGTCAACTTGGCTAGGCCATGATTCCCAGTATTGTGTGGTTGTCCTCCATTTTGTGATCTGATAATCTTATGTGTTGTAAATCTATGATATTAATGAGGCAAGATTAGAGGCAGTTATGTTAATGAGGCAGGACTCAATCTATAGGATTGGGTTGTGTCTTGAGTCAATCTCTTTTGAGATATACAAGAGAAAAGTGAGCAGAGAGGAGAGGGACCTCATTACCACAAAGTAAGAAGAGCCAGGAGCAGAGCTTGTCCTTTGGACTTGGGTTCCCTATGCTGAGAAGCTCCTAGACCAGGGGAAGATTGATGACAAGGACCTTCCTCCAGAGCCAACAGAGAGAGAAAGCCTCCCCTTGGAAATGGCACCCTGAATTCAGACTTCTAGTCTTCTAAACTGTGAGAGAATAAATTTGTTTATTAAAGCCATCCACTTGCTATAGCAGCACTAGATAACTAAGACAAACACTAAGGAGGTTGTTATCCCTATTTAACAGCTATAGCACATGATTTAGCAGTTAATGATGATGATGACAAACACATAGCACTGACTATAAGCTAGGCACCATTCAAAGTGCTTTATATATTATTTGAATCCTCATACAACCCTAAGGAGGTTGTTATCCCTAGTTTGCAGATAAGGATACTGAAGGACATAGTAGATGCTAAATAAATATTTGGTCACTGGAATAAATGAACTATCATCAATCATTTAATTTTCTTTTTGCCTTTAATAACTCATTCTTTCCTACTCCTGAACTTCTTTTATAGTCAGTGTTATAAATTTGTTCTTTAAAGCTCGCAGAAACATTACTACAAAGATTAAGAAGAACAGAACACTCTGATTAATATAATTATACTCTAAATCAAACCATTAGGACAGAACTGTTTGGATTTGTGGACAATCTCAAAGGACCATGACTCCAGAGTCCATCTCTCCTACCAGAGTTGTCTGCCTCTACCAAAAACATAAATCAGGAAATACAAATACCACCTGTTTTCCTGTAGGCAAATGGATTATGAGTTCATGATTAAAAAATATATATATTATGACAAACCACAGGAAATTGTTGATTTTGAAGATCAAAAATGGTCAAATATCAACAATTTCATATGGCTCGACCTAACAGATTCTGCCACATTTTAATGCAGTGTGACTGTAGTATTTAATTTTTAAGCTAAGGGTGAATAAAAGATGGGAGTAGTTACTGGAATTTATCCAGGAAGCTGGGGAGTATATGAATACAATCACATCTGTTAACCCAAGTTTGCCAAGGCTGCTATAGTGCTAGACACATGATAAAAAAAAAAAAAGTCAATCAAACCAGTTGCCACCGAGTCATTCTGACTCACGGCAACCCCATGTGTTCCAGAGGAGAACCGCACTCGATAAGGTTTTTTCCAATGGCTGATTTTTCAGAATGAGATTACCAGGACTTTCTTCTGATACACATAGTAAATGCCCAAAAAATAACTATAGAAGTGTGCTTGTTAGAAAATAATAAACAAGGAGGCTATAGTAATCCCACCCTGAATAAATTTTGCATCCAACTGGACCAAGCTTTATTGAATGCTTACTCTGTATAAAGCAGTGAGTCAGCCACCATCACTGTAAGAGACCCACATGCATGAACCAGCCACATACATGAGGCAGAGCAAAACAGAGGGAAGAAATAAGTAATTCTCACTGACACTAGAAAATCTGAGTATGTGTCCTTTATACCAAGTACTTCACTGTTCTGTAACTCATCTGTTTGCACTCACGTGCTCTTTAACAGTAAGGGTCTGGCAAAGGGAAGTTTTGCCATTAGTGTTCTGTTTGTATGTATAATCCCAAATCCTCCATAAATTGCATGAGATAGGTTTCATTTTCTTCCAGTAGTCTGTCTGGAGCCTGCTCCTCATACAGCCTGGACAAAAGGCTGTCCTCCGTGAGCCCAACACACTAAGAATGCTCACATCCCTCTGAGTTATGTTCAAAGTCAGATAATGGAGGTATACATAGCCTTCCAGTCTGAGGGTCCCAATCAACCAGTGTTGTTGATGGCTCTTCCTCTGGCCCCTGCCCAGTGTCTGTGAGCTCCTGCATTGGGTGGTCTAAGTCTCTGGGCTGGGGAACATATGGATACAATAATGTCTGTTGGCCCAAGTTTGCCAGAGGTGCCTGTTGCTCAAATAATTTTCCTTGTATGCATACCTCCTCCTGCAAATTAAGCTCTTGGTCTTCAGACCCCACAGAAATATCAGTAATTTTTACATTATATTCATATTCTATGACTGTTTCATCCATGGCTCTTGTTCTGCTGAGTGACTCGTGCTGGGGCAGGGAAATACCATTTGTGTTTCTCCCCAAGTCCCAGAAAATTTCCATGAAATGTGAAGCATACCCTAAGTGTTTCACCTCATCTTCCGTCTGATGGGGCTCCTGGTCCTCACTGGGCTTGGTATCGTTAAGGCTGGATACATCACTGCTTTTTTCCATTAAACTTATATCCTTACAAGACATTTTAGAATCATCCAGAACACTTAGGGTGATAAAGTTAATCACAGTTTTTTCGGCAGGTTCAAAGAATCTTTTGTCAAATTCATTTTCATAGATCAAAATCTATAAAGAGAGAAGAGAATGGTTTTCATCCTTTTGCTTTAGAGAGACATTAAAAACAGGTATTAAGTAGAATTTATACTGTCACCAGCTAGTTTTAAAGACCTACTCTTACAACTCATGGAAGTGAAAGTTAAGCTTGCACTAATACGGAAAACCTCACTGACTGGGAGGCAAGAAATGCAAGACACACAAAATGCATGAGGAAGTGAAAAGTGGTTCACTGCGTGAGTATTCATCCAGCTGAGGATCACGGTGGACCACTGGCCCTCTTCTTACTGGCCAGGTGAGTATAGGCAAGTCACTTAAACTTCCTGAGCTTTGGTTTTATTCTTCTGTAAAAAGGAGAATATATGCCCAAGGAGAATCTATGCCACATGAGACATGGCAAAGACCCAGTGAGACAGTTTGTGAAACTGCTTGGTTACTGATAGTTTACCATGTACCTACTGATAAACTGTCGTTACCTGGGCTCCCAGCCCTTTGCTGAGCAGCGGTTACTGTGGACGTGTAATGCCAGTGAGCATGAAAACTGGATTTAAAAAGGGAGATCACACAGCGGTAGGGATGATTTTACTTATCCCCCCTTACACCATTCTAAACGCTTAGGCTAAAAAGGGAAATTTATCTGCCAGCTTATGGCAGACAAGAAACTCCAAAGCATGTCAGGGAAGCTGGTGTGAGATTAAAATTTTGCTGGGGACACATGGAAGGTGCCTATTATCCAAGAGAGTGTCAATTATGAGTTATGTTACAGTCATCACTGTCTATTCTACAATGTAATTCCATTTAACATTACAAAATAGGATCTTCAGCCTCATTCTTTTACAAAATTTTTAGTTTCAGAAAGGCACATGTGGGCAATTTTCCTGTGAATTTTCCTCCCAGGAAAGGTCTCCCTGTGCTATTAAGAAGCTAAGACTGAAATCTAAATGCAGGCAGAAAAATAGAAACATGGAACTAACAGGTACAAAGGTACATGTTGTGTACATGTGAACACATATTTTAATCCCCCAAAGAACAAATTTTTATTATTAAAGTATGCTCAGTCCTTCTAAACCCTTCAGTAGATGGTCAGAAAGCACTGGGTTTATCCCTTCTTCTTTCTTGCATCTCCTTGCGGCCCCATGAATTATGTGTTTCCATTCCTTGTCTTTATCTCCAGCCCTATATCCCACTCTTTTCTTTCAGACTTTTATCTCTCCCCTGCAGTCTTCTGCTTTTCTTGTTTCTAGTCTTACTCTCCCTGAAGATATCCTAGCCGTGTTATCCACTCAGATCTAAAACACAATATTATGATACTCCCAAATGAAAATCCTACAGTGATTTTTCCTTGCCAACAGAATAAAGCCCCAGCTCCTCAGAATAAGGCCCAGTCCTCCCTTTACCTGGCCTTAACCCCACCTCTCTCCAGTCTCGTATTCCATAGCTCCTGCTCAGGAACCTCGTGGCTCAGCAATATTGTGTGGTTTCTCACCTACATCACACTCTTTCATTTCTACCCACCTTTGCCCCTGCTGTTTCTCCTGCCTGCAGTTAAGTGCCTTAAATCTTACTTACCTTTCATAACTAAGTCCTGGAATGAGAATTTCTCCTGAGCTCCCACATGGGACTTCAGGGTTCTCCCCTACACACGCAGAATTCCCAGTGCATGCCTCCATCTTAGCCCTTCATATAGTGTGAAGTCACATCTAGACTTGATCCTTTAGAAGTGCAGAGATCATAACTTAATTTATCTCAGTACCCCCAGGACCTAGAATAATCCGGTCACTTAATATAAAATCTTGATCAAAGCTAAGGAACCATTATCTGTGATTATGTTAGTGAGCTAATCCAGAACAGAAAGTGTTTTTTAATTCATCATCTATTTAACTTTACATTCACGTTGCCCACAAATGGAACTGCATCTGTTCTAGAACCTCCTTCTATGGCCTCCTGGAGATGTGCTGTTATAATAATGACTCCTGCCACACCAAGCACTCACCAAATTTTCTGGGTGTTTCTCTTTGCCAACATGGATATATCTGTACATGGAGTATCCCAACACAGCAAAAACAAACATGGTAACAGATATGGGCAAAACATAGCAGAAGATGATTTTAATCTTCAACGCCAATGTCTGATCTGTAAAAAAGAAATGTGCGGTATCACCTTTTAGATGAGCTCCTATGTGAATAACAGAATCATTCTCACACTACTTGGCCAGATTTTCTGGGTAGAGTTGGAGGCTGGCATGTGTGTAGGGGGGTGACTGGGCAGGCGTGCAGTGAGGATGGCAGTAACTCTCTCCGAGGTCCTGCTCATGATGAGTAAGAGGCCACAGAAGAATGAAAAGGCCCAGTGGATACTTTTACAAAAAGCAGCCCAGGCCCACCATTGATCAGATTATGGTTGATGATGGTAGCTCATGATTAACTTATACCTGCCATAAACTCCTGTGCTGGACTGGGCAGTAGACAAAAATACAGCTTTAACAAAAATGACAAAAGTCCTAAGATATTCTTCACACAATAATAAAATCAGCAAGGGTGTATGGGAGCAGCCTAAACCATGCCAACATTGAATGCTCTTGATGCCTGGGCCCCAGAGAAAGCAGCTAAGTCACTAAAGGGTTAAAGACTGGAGGCAGAAGTGTCATGGAAGGTGAGGATGGTCAACAATAGCCAGTGGGAAAAGTCTAGGTATGAGGTCCAACTTCAGGCTCTTCTATCCCGAACAATTCCTGAAGAGTACATGCAATGGTGCTCTGCAGGTGCTGCAAGTGTCTGAGCACTAGCTGCCCCTACTTAGGCTACAGCTCAGTCCAGTCCTCTTAATACAATCCCTGGTCCCAGGCCTGAGCTTGCTCTAGTTACAAAGAGCCATGACAACAAAGACTGATGCCATCTAGTGTACATGGACACATGTTGGTTACAATAAGCCTAATAAAACTGTATCTGTATTTTAAGGTTTGGGGGACTGTGGGAAGCAGACATACTTTCAAAAGAATAGTCCTAAAAGAGGCAATACTGATTATAAAAAATGTGGGCCCTCCTCACTGTCTTGAAAGGTATTTCAAGTGGTCTAACAGCTGGGATATCAAGGGAAAGGGCTAAACCAGATATGATGCCCAGTTATTTTTGTTACCTCTCCTGGCCTAGGGAGAAAGTCAGCTGCATTTGCTTACTGGGGAATATTTAATTTACACTGCACTTTCGTTCTGCCAACTGCTTAAATGATTTCTACTGGAGATTCACTCCTATAATCTGGCCATGGGCCAAGCTGATAGTATACAGAGCACTTTTCCAAAAACAAAAATGGTTTCTTCAATGTGCTTTGTTTTTGCCTTTCGCTTGCCTATCATTTTCCTTTTATTTGACACATGGTAGAGAACCCTTAATTTTAAAGGAAAAGGTAGGATAAGGACTGTCATGGATTAAATTGTGTCCCTGAAAAATCTGTGTTGTAAATCCTAACCCCTATCCCTCTGGTTGTAATCCCATTTGAGAATGAGTTTTCTTTGTTAAGAGGCCATATCAGTGTAGGATGTGTTTTCAGCCGATCACCTTTGAGATACAAAAAGAGCAGATGAGGACAGAGGAGCAAGCAAGATGGGGGAAGACAGATGCCATCCCACATGAAGATCACCAAGGAGCCAAGGAATAGAAGCTGAAGAGACAAGGACCCTCGTCCAGAGGCAAAAGAGAGAAAGCCTTCCCTAGAGCCAGCGCCCTGAATTCGGACTTCTAGCCTCTTAAACCATGAGAAAATAAATTTCTGTTTGTTAAAGCCACCAGAGATGGAATACCCAGTAAACAAAGTACTGCATGGGCTTACTTACTAATCCGTAGTGCACAATTTCACTTGTTTGCCATCACATCTTTGAACCCATATGAAATTGTGCACTACGGATTAGTAAGTAAACACAAGTAAGCCCGTGTGTACCTGGCTTACTGGTTAATCCGCCCCTGAAAGCCACCTACTTGTGGTATTTCTATTACAGCAGCACTAGATAACTAAGACCTAAGGACAGAGATTCAAAAAATAAGACTTTTCACTTACCATGTGTGATCACAAAATTCCCTTGCCATTCTTTGGGATGGTTTCACTTTAAAATGTGGGAGTGGTTGCACTAGCTGGCTCCCTGAGTGCCATTTGTTGGCTGTTAGTGTTGCTTTTTTTTCTGCTTCTTTTGATTTCTTCCTTACCTCTCACCACCTCCCCCTCCTTTCGCTCAAATACCTGGCTCTGTGCACCATCTTTGCTTCTTCCTGAGGGGCTGTGGAGCTCCGTTCGAGTGTGGAGCTGCTTCCTGGTCTGGGCTGCTGTGCTGATGGGATCCTGGGGCTTTTGTTCGTTTGTTTGTTTTGAATTGTTTGTTTTCTTTTCCTTTTCTTGAGTTGGGAGCCCTTTCTGGCCAGGCAGTGCTGCGTGGCAAGGAGACTTCCCCCCGGCCTGCACAGATGTGCAGAGGGATCCCTGAGAACATTTCTTTCTTTTTTTTTTTTTTTCCTGCTTTTTTGGGGGCCTTTCTTGTTCTTTTTTTTTTTTTTAATTGGTTTTGTTTTCTTTTCCCTTTTTGCCTTTCTTCATTGCTCAGTTTCTTGTCTCTCTATATCTTCCTTCTCTTTCTGTTCCCTAAATACCTGGCGTTGTATACCTCTACGCCTTCTAGCCAAGCTGTACTACAACACCTGAGAGCGACTTCCCCAGACCTCATAGCTACACTGGTGGGATCCCTGGGAACTTTGCGGTTCTTTAACCTTTCAGATTTTTATTTATTCATTCTTTTCGTTTCTTTTCTTCCTCTTCCGCTTTCTGTTGTTCTCCACTTCACAGTCTCTCATCTCTCCACTCCAATGGCAAGCTCCCCTAGCATTCTTTTTTGTTTGTTTGTATGTTTTTGGCTCCTGTTCCTCTCTCCTCTCTTCCATATCCATCTTAGCTCCAAACATAACAATCTCCCCGCTACATCCTGCCTACCTACAGTGTGCACTTAACATCACACCACCAAGCAGCACAGGCACAGCCTACTGGAACCTGCCCTGCACTGATTACCGACTCTCCTGGGTGGCTGTAGTAAGTGCCACAAACAACCCGTCCCAGTAACATCTCTTAAGCTAGACCTGCCCTGCCGTACCATATCTGAGTGACTGACCCTGCCAGTTGGAGAAGGAGGTGAAAAGTATTGTGTCCACAGACGAGACAACAAAGAACACACAGCCCGCCTGCTCAGACATAGCCAAATTAAAAGAAAGGGACGAAACAAACAAATCTACAATCAATAAACGAGAAAAATAACTACTGAATGCCCCAAAGACAGCAGACAATATCAAAACATTTACAAAAACAGGACAGGATGGTTCCAGTAGGCGTCCAAAATAAAACACCAGATGACTCTCC